TTTTCTTTTTTTTTTTTCTTTTTTTTTTCCCCTTTTTTCTTTTTTTTTTTTTTTTCCTTTTTTTTTTTTTTTTTTTTTTTTTTTCCTTCTTTTTTTTTTTTTTTTCTTCTTTTTTTTTTTCTTTTTTTTTTTTTCTTTTTTTTTTTTTTGCTGCTTCTTCTTTTTTTTTTTATTATTTTTTTTTTTTTTTTTTTTTTTTCCATAGCTTTTTTTTAAAATTTTTTTTTTTTTTTTTTTTAAAAAGGGCTTCCCCCCTTTTTTTTAAACGGTTTTTTTTAAAAAAACCTTTTTTTTAAAAAAAAGGAAAAAAACCCCTTTTTGGGGGGGGGAAAAAAAAAAAAAAAAAAGGGGGGAAAGGGGGTTTTGGGGGGCCTTTTTTTCTGTGGATATTTTTCTTTGTGTCCACCGGGGAATTTAAAAGGGAAAATAAATTAAATTTAAAATTTTTAGGGATCACACAAGGAATTTTAAAAAACCCCTTAAAGGGGAAAACCAAAAATACTGAGAATAAAAACAGGCAAAAAGTTTAAAGAGTTTTTTGATGGTAATTTCCCCCCCAAGAAAGTGGGGTCGTTCACCTAGCTGGGGGGACGTGGGGTAAAAAATGGGGGGAAAATGATAGAGATATTAAAATACGAGTACAAAAGGAAAGAGCAGCTTTCGTAGCACCAGGAAATTTGTGGAGGTCAAAATTAATCTAAACTTATACAAAACTTAAAATGGATACTTTTAATTTCAAATAATATTGTTGTATGGAGCTTAAATACGGAGAACAACAAAGGCAATCACTAATAAAGTAATTACCAATAAACTTCTAAGATTCATTCACTGGTGCCTGCGCAAATAGAGATAATTAAATGGTATAATAGAATCACCATTTTCGAGCTTTGAGAGAGAACTAAACAAGTTTCAGTGGACCAGGAGGTGAAGAAAACAAGCTGGCGTTGGATGGGACACACGCTAAGAAAACCTGAGAACAGTATCAATAGAAATGTTTTCGCACTGGAATCCACAGTGGCATAGAAATAAAGGAAGACGAATGGGGAAAGGAGCTAGTGATGGAAGTTTAACAGATAGGGAGGACATGGGGAGATCTGCATGCAGTTGCGAAGGATAGAACGACTTGGCGTAAGTTGATTGAGGCCCTGTGTCCCATTGGGAGGAAAAGAAGGCAGAAGAAGAAGAAGAAGCTATAATGCCAAAATTGACCTGAAATGGGTACCAGGTACAGTCCTGGAAAGTAAATGCAACCGGAGTGATGTTGACCACATACTCCTAAAGTGCCGATTGGTCTTAAAAATATAGGTCTAGCCCTATATACCCAATACACCTGATGGCGTTGAAAATTGTCCTTTCCTTAAGCCAGCGGGCAGCATTAGCTAAATAGGTTAGTTTCGTATCCTTTACAGGACCCCAACAGCACCTGGCTGTTGTGTGGTTTTTCTAGGCAAATTTACGTCCAGTAGTTTGCCATTGCTTTCTGGACGGGCGGCTTTCTTGATACCACTGTCGAAACCAACGCAAGGCCCATGGCGCGCAGCTGGGATCGAACTCGGCATCCCGGCATTACGAAGCGTTCACATCGACTTAGCCACAGAGCCGACTTAGCTAAATAAGCAGCTCATTATATGACAGGCTTTAGTTAAACTTTTTACATTTAGCAAGACATACAACAATATCATACAAGTAAACAAAACAATATTAAAATTGGGACAGTTTTATGGACTACATATTTATCATCGAACAGGAGGACTATATGACATGTAGTTGAATTTGAATTCAACTCGGCTTGATAGGTAGAAGTGTCCCCCCCCCGGTGTCATTTCCACACACCGTTTCTCTCACAGAAAATCTCCGAGGCGAAGGTCCCTGAAACCAATGTGCCTGGAATGCTGGTCGATAAGGTAAGTTTTAGGCTCTCCTGTCAACTACGGGTGGTAGGACAAGACAGTAGGCAGAACAGTTAATAACGCTAAACTTTAGTCAGAGTTCTGTCCCCTGGCTGCAGTGCAATTACGGACTGGAGAAGGCACGAATCAGACGCACAAAGTGAGGTCGACATGCCTAGCAGACCCCGCGCTGCGACTCAAATTAGGGACCGAGTTCAATTACCGCTTCTTGCGACGCATTACGGAGTGGATTAGAGGGAACGATACAAGTGACAGAATTACTGTGTGTTGGCGATAGACAGCGTGCAGTGCCCTACTGTCATCATACCCAAACCCTACAGTGCACGGTGTCTATCGCCAACACACAGTAATTATGTCATTTGTTTCGTTTCCTCCTGCCCAGTCCTTAATAGCACTGCAGCCAGGGGACAGAACTCTGACTAACCGGCCGTCTACTGTTGTCTACCGGCCGTAGTTGACAGGAGAGCCAAGTTTTACTTTAAAAACAAAATCCTGATATGAACTGTCCTTGATGACGACACCAGCCATGTGATTCTACGTCCTAAGACTCGAAAAGCACACGTCTACGCTGCACAATTGATAGATACAGGCAGTAATGATATTTTTTGGGATTGTTGTTGATGACATTTAGTAGGCGAGAAGGCATGGTATCCGCCTTGAGTGCTAGAGATCCGGGTTTAATCCCCGGTAGCTTCTGGGATGTTTTCACGTAGACTTGGATTTCTAGTAATCCCCCCCCCCCCCCCCCAACCCTCTGTCTGGTCTCTGTGTAATGAGAGTGGACACCCGTGTGCATTGTTGGGCACGTCAAATATCACTTGGCTGTTGGAAATCGAAAAAAGGTACCATAACTGTGCTGCCCGGACAATATTTAGAGTTTAAAATCTGCACAAAGTGTTCCAGCATCCTCGTCGGTGCTAGAGAGCCTGTGCACCTTGCTGAGCTTCTTCGGACTCAGACTTGAGTTAGAAAAAGAACGGACCACTTGTGGGTTGCTAGCCATGGGCCATGGTTCAAATATCAAACAGTAGGCGAGAATTCGATTATTCTACCATATGTGTTACAGCTCTGCACTAATCGGGGATACAACATTCTCTTTCACAAAGAATCAGACATTCTTGTATTCGATAATGACTGCTCTTGTGCTGGCGAGACTGAGAATTCAGTTTCCCAAATTTATCACACTGCCCACTAAAATGTTTCCATTTTCTATTTTTCAAATAATTTGGAAGTTATTTATGAGCAGTTATTATATGGATGAGATATAAGTTCACTTCCAAATCTTCCACATTCATCATTAAAATACTTCAGTATTCTCTTTCATAAATAATTGTGGATTCATGTATTTGATTAAAACTGTTATTGTAAGAGTTGACCTGGGTTGAGTTGATTCAAGAATTGACATCACAGCACTCGGGGCATTCCAAAAAGCTCTTCGTCCCCATCTTCAGTAGCCAGCTCAAAGTTCCAATACTATTGGTGCGACTAGCTTTCTGATTAAACGTCCGTCTTGCCTTTTCTCTGAGCCTCTTTTCACAACACACCAGCGTGCCCCGGAGAAAAAAAATCGAGACAATACTCCTCACCCGTGTCTTCCGCAGGGAAGCATGCCACTTTGCACGAAGCATGCCTGTCCTGTCTTCCTCAGCATGCTTTCTGATTCAGTTATAATCACAATGTGTGCGTGTATGTGTATGTTAGAGAGAGAGTGTGTGTGTGTGTGTGTGTATGTCGTGTTCTCTAACCAGCTGAAAGCTGCAGTGACCGTCTCCACTTACACTCCTAAGCTGAATGTTGTGGTATCATAGGCGAGGCTCTCCTGCACCAGATGTTGATCTTTGACTTTTGCCATGAACCCCAAGCAAATCTTTTGTCTCTTGACACTGAAGCGTCTGTATAAATAATAACATCCTTTGGTCGAGCGTTATCTTGAATAAACTGCTAAATTGCTACCTCCTTGGCACTTGCTGACCAGTCTCTATATTGTCTCTCAATGTGAGTATGTCTCTAAACAAGTCTGACTGTTCAGCTGGCACCTTGACACACTCTTCTGCTCGCCTAATGTTCTCCAGAATCCAGACCAGTCGATTGTGTCTTCTGCCAGAGCTATCTTATCAGCCTCTGACCTTTACCTGCACCCAGAGCTTCGCACAAAGGGTCATCTGTGTCTGCAGCTACCTTGAGATATGACTTCGCCTGAAGCACTTGTGCCTACCTGCAACAGTCGGTAAACCAAGGATGTATTGCATACACACCACTGGGGTGTCTCTGGTGCAACCCAGAATGACCCGCATAGCTGCGTTCTGTATGCGCTCTAGTTTGTCCATCTGACTCTTTGAGACGGTAAGCAGTCCCAGGCCATATTCAACCACTGACAGGATCAGGTCCATATATAGTGTGAAAAGCATTCTCTGGTCTATTTCAATTGCAGCCATAGTCTTAAGTGCACTAAGTCATTTTTGGCATCTCGTCACAACACTCTCCACATTGTCCTTAAAGGACAGGCTCCTGTCAAATATTATTCCCAGATATTTCAGTTTGCTCTCTCTCTGTTGACGTTTCTACCATATATCGTGAGACACGCGACATCAGCTCTAACGATCCTGTTGACTAGAAAAAAAAAAAATAGTATATGCAGGCATATCATCTGCAAAAGTCAGCATTCTTCCATCGCCTGGTGCGTCTAGGTTTGCAATCTTGCTCGTATACACGTTAAAGAGCGCAGGCGAGATGGCGGATCCCCGTGGCAGTCCTGGAGCTAAACTGCATGGTTCTGAGGTCCATGAGCCCAGTCAGAGGGCAACCTGAAGCGAATATAGGACAGCTGCATCCCATTTCCCCAGCCAGGGACTGACCTCCTTTTCCTTCATCAAAATGGCATACCTTACTCTGTTATAAGCATCCTCAAGATTCAGTGCTGTCTGTTATTGTATTAGCGAAAGTTACATTCTCAGTCTTCTATGTGTATCATAACTTTGAGTTAAAAGATGTCCCTGTCCACTCATTTACAAATAATCTTAGGTGAAATTATGGCTTTTCTTGTGCGGGCGAAGATTTGGTTAAGTGAGTATAGGTCGACTGGGTAAGTACTTAATTCCGTTTGTTGCTGTTACGAAAGGCAACACTGTGGTCTGTATCACGATCCAGGTGAATTATGAGACCCTGTTCAGCTTCCTCGGAGTAGTTAATCTGGACATCGTCTTCATCATCTGCAAAAATTATGCTTGCCGACTCTGCAGTGTTATCAACTGTGTCATTATCTTTGCAGTCGAACTTTGTACATTCAGCGAGATTGTCCATTTGGTCTTTGATGATGTCTGTCGCCATGGTAATGGTGTCACGTTTAATACTACTATGGCAGTAGTTAGGGGTAGACCTGGTGTAGGACTTACTCTTGGCAAGCCCATTGTGAAGAGCGAAACTGCTCGCTGATTTTCTCGCTCTTCTGTACGAGAAATTTAAACAAGAAAACCTTGCTTTCACTTCCTCGCGAAAATGTTCATTCAGCCAGCAGTACACAAATGGATTGTAGCAGGTACTACTGATGGCCACCCAGTGACACGTAAAGAACGCCATTGTATTGTACTGAAACACGTCTGGGCTCGGGTGTAGGTCTGTTAGAAGATGGTACATGTTTAGAGGCAACCAGCAGATGGCAAACACAATTACGACAGCTATTAGAAGCTTAATACTTTTTCTCTTTGCGCGAGCTTGAGACAGTTGCTGGTTAGCTGTGACTGCCCCGACGTGTGTTCGTGCCCACAGGCTCTTCACAATTCGACCATACGCAACTGAGATCAACGAGAAGGGTACGCAATACTGAAGTATAAATGTTGTAATTGTAAGGAATCTTTCGAAATCATGGAATAGTTTTGGGCTCTGAAATCGACATCTCCGAAACTCTTTGGTAATTAAAAAGTGAACTTTAATTACGCGCATATACATTCCATATGGTAAAGATAGAAATATGGCTACTAGCCAAATTAACACCAAAATACTTATAGCAAGATTCTTTGACATCCGACGTGATAAAGGTTTAAGTACAACCCTGTGTCGATCAAGCGCAATGGAAGTCAAGGTGTACGTTGACACATAACAGGTGAGAACTAAAGAGTAGTTGACCAGGTGGCAAGGTATTTCTCCAAACGGCCAGTCATTCAGGAGACTCCGAGAAATATTGAAAGGCACGTTGATGAACGCAACTAGAAGGTCACTAATGGCGAGGTTTGCGATGAAAAAATTTGTAGCGGTATGAAGGCGTTTGTTCTTCAGAATAACGTAACACACGAGCACATTTCCAAATATGGCTATGACACAGAGGACTCCATACGCCAACAGTAGAGTAAGGGTGGCTCCCAAAGGCATGACTTTGTCTCTTTGTGATCCGAGATAAAGATGGCTGCTATTGTTCTTGCCCATGTGGCTGGAGAGAAGATGCTCAAAGAATTCATCGTTGTATACAGAATCCGGCAGATCTGTGAAGATAAACGATATAAATAAGTATATCAAACTACAAATATTTTCTTGCCTTTCTAAAAACTAGCACAGTTATTAAGTTGAAAAAGAATATGTATTGCAAAAAGCAAACGAGACTGGAGTGAGGTATGCCTATATAAAGAGCATGAGCGATGAAGACCTAATGAGATGGCATTTCACTTTAGCCAGAACGTCAGAACAGCGTCAGTACCCCAGGATTGGGTACACAGCTAACTGATCCCCCTTCCGAAACCAGGCAAAGATCATTCCAGACTTAGCTGTTTCAGGACTATCACCCTACAAAACACTTTTGGCAACGTGCAAGAGAAGTTTATTGCTATTAAACTACAAATGGTTTTGGAAAGCGATAGTGCACTTGTATTCATGACGAGGCGCAGGTTCAATTCCCGGCACGGTAACTATAGCTTTCGATTTTTATGCTGTCTAGTGTGTTCTTCTATCTATCTACTTCTTTCTATGAGTGCCGATCAATACACTTTCTGTTACTTGATTAATTCTTCCATAAAGTTTTGTTTAATTACCGGCCACGGAAAGATAATGGTCTAATGCAGCTACTTTTGCTTTTGATGCTTATGAAGGGTTCCAGAACAGACAAGAGACAGTTGGGGCAGCACTTGATCTTAATTGGAACTCTTCGCTTGCTGCTGAAGATGGAGACTAAGCAATTATGGGAGTGCTGTCATATTAATTCCTAATTTAACATTCAACAGAACACCAGTTTAACATGTCATCACTATTGAAGAGAGAAGATTATAGACAGTCTGGCTCATGACATAGAGGGACATGTGTTCATAAAACACTGGATAGGACACGAAGAAGATGGCTGTTGACAGGCATAACGAGAAACGCTACATGGCATGAATACAGCAGTTTCCTAATATCTTTCAATGTCAAGTTCAGTTTATAATTTCATGGCCGTGATGACACGAGAATATGGCATTTATAGGTATGTGATTATTCACCACCTGTGAAATGAGATGTTTGAGAATGGCTGCGAATAAAACCAGAAGAGATCGAGTGAGAAACGATGTGATTACAAGAACTATTGGAACCATACCCATCGTTAAATTTATTGAGAAGCAAAGAATGAAATGGTTTGGTCACCTAATGAGAATGGAACCAACGATGCCAGCATCAAGAGCATACAACATGAAAATCGAAACAACAAGAGGCAGGGGAAGACCAAGAAGAAGATGGATTGAAGGAGTCACGGACAACTTGAGACTTCATAACATCACGGCATATGAAGCGACTGAGCGCGCCCTAGCTCGGTTGCCGATCATCTGATAGACTGCGACGCCTAGCGGCACAAGCAGATTTTGACAAAAGAAGAAGAAGATTATTCATCATCATCATCATGTGCCCAGCAATCTGGCTTAGGGGCTCTTGCATCTCCACTGATCACTATCGCTGGTTGCCTGGAACAGCTCTCTTGATGATATCCCTCCATGCCATCGTTTCAGCGCATCTAGCATCATCTCTCTTGATCTGCCTCTACCCCTTTTCCCACTGATCACTATCGCTGGTTGCCTGAAACAGCTCTCTTGATGATATCCCTCCATGCCATTGTTTCAGCGCATCTAGCATCTTCTCTCTTGGTCTGCCTCTACCCCTTTTTCCCACTGATCTTTCCAGTTCATATGATTATTAGCGCAAGTATTTTGTTTCCATTTTTGTTTTCGGGTCGACAGCACAAATGTAATAATAAACAAGTTACAGTGTCACCTGGTTTTTAAAAGTAACATACGTTAAGATGGAAGGTGGGGGGTTAATTGTACTTCTACATTTGGTAGTATAGAAATAATATCGACAACAGCATATACGCCTTTTAATAAAGTCGACAGTTATTAGTGATAAGACTTGCAGGACAATAATAAACGATGGGGTCAGATGTGAATACTTTTTTTTTTAAAGAGTATAGTTAACTAATAAATGTACTACTTGCAGTCAGAAATCATCCTGAATATATGAACAAAAATATCGAACCCTACCTCAACATATTATACAGAAATGATACTGTATGATCTCAGTGTGGTGCTGCGTGGACGAATAGTAATACCATTAACTGAATTACTGTTAACGATGATGATTTGTTGAAGAGAACACCTACTCAAATGATTATGATTTTACCATAAGAGGTTGTATTTTTAAACTTAATATTCATCTTCTCTGATACTGCATCCTAGAAGTTTAGTACCAAATGACACAAAAAAAAACATTATTTTGAGAGTGTGATTTCTGCAGCAACAAATCACATACACTATTTCCACATTTATGGGTGGGTTATACAAAACTATAAAATCTCACATGCTATTTCTTTGCTGATTGAAACAAAAAATATGTAGTTGCAATAATTAGTCTCTTCTTATTGAAAAAAAAAGTGTTTACAGTTATTAACATATCTTTTGTAAAATCTTGCAAATTAAGAAGCAGAAGTTGTCGGCAGTCTGTTTTACTACGGATTATACGGTGCTGCCCCTCCTCCCCCCCCCCCCCAGATTTTTTAACAAGGGATCAACATCATGGCACACGGGTAGTAACCCATAAGTGCTCTGTTCTTCTTCTAACTCAAGTCTGAGTCCGAAGGGCACAGGCTCTGTAGCACCGGCAAGGAGCCTGAAATACTTTGGGTAAATTTTTAACTCTGAATTTTCCCCGGTCAAAATGCCAAGCGATTTTTAACTTGTGCATCAATGTACACGAGCGTTCGATCTCACTACCCAGAGACCAGGGGAAATTACTGGAAGTCCAAGTCCACAGCAAAAAATCCCAGCCCTTACTAGGGACTGAACCCAGAACCTCTAGGACTCCAGGCGGACACCATGCCACGATACCACGCAGCCTAAATGGTTACAGGTCCATACCATCGTCAGCATGAATCCAGACGGTCTGTAGATAAATGGCCTGCAGCAATTCTAGCTTTGATATGCGTCTAATATGAAACTGCGTTCCTAACCACTAAACCCTAGAATGCTAACAGGGTTGTCTAAAAAACAGAAATTTTAATCTTAGCAGGACCTAAAAAAAAAAAAAAAGCTTCAAAACAACTAAGTCGTAAAGCAAACCAGATGAGGAAGTAATACATTTACTCTTTATTTTTCTATTGTGTGGTAACATGGACAAAGAATAAACAAATGTAAGTGCAGGTCTTGGACCCTGGTTTGTTTGTAATCATTTTAGAAGAGCGAGTCCAGAAACTAACAATTTTGAAATTATTAAGGGAGTTTCACAAGCAGCTTAAAGTATATAGTGCTAAAGACGTCTTTTGTTTTTCGCTTTCACCGGCTGTAAACTCCGGCGGAAAGTTTTGCTTCTTCGTCCACCTCTGGAATTTAGTCTGGTTCCAGAACCTGAGTGTTGCGTAAAAATATGTTTTACTGATCTGACTTATTTGTGAGCAGATTGTTGATTTCTTGCTTCTGCTCATGCTGTGAGTAGGCTTCAGTCAACACCTGGTTGTAAGAACGTTATTGCTCGCGACGACTTGCTTGGATCACAACTCCCATTTTTAAATAAACAAAAATAGTTAACGTTGCGTCCCCACGAGAATCTGCTTTCGGCAACCGAACGCACAGAAAGATGCAGTGATAAACCTGCTTTCTTGTTTGCATCTCTTTCTGTTTCCTACTTCTTTCAATATCACATACACACACACGAACACACATTCACACACGCACGCACACACACACAGACACACACACACACACACACACACACACACACACCACAACCTTTTAAACAATAGTAAAAAATTTATAATGAAGTACACTTTTGATTTTCCACCAGAATTGCTTTTGAAATTTAACCATCACTTTTTTAAAAAATCAGCTGAGCTTGCAATTTTGGAGATTCTTCTGTTGGCACCTGAAATCGGTTCAATCCCATAGTCCGGTATATTTTTAAAAATATCTTTGGATCGTTGATTAGAATGGGGAGCCTTCCGGTATCAATAACAAGAAAGCTAATTTTCAACATAAATTGTCTCCCGATAAACCTAAAATTTACGGACCAGTGATTAGCGAGCGCTGTCATCCTAGTCAGTCAGTCAGTAGCATGTCCTTTGCAGAATCTTGCTCCCATTACAACCCTCCGGAAAACTTCTCGATGACAAGCAAGATGCCCTGTGTCTGATACACCCATCTGGTGATCATCCGCCACATCCTGCACTCATCTTCTAGTGGCCTTCCTCTCCCATTCTTCCCAGGCATTTACACCTCTATTATTTTTCTCTTTAAACTTTTGTGACGTTTCAGTTAACCAAAATATTTATATTTTCTGTGTTTTAAAGTCTTTAAAGCCAACCTGCTTCAATATTCAGTTCTGGAAGTATAGATGCATTTGTTCTTTTATTTACCCATATTTTTCTTAGAACCCGCCTTTACCATTTGTATTCCAAGACATTTTTGCGCTGTTTAGCTTGTGTAGTAAGTTTGAACAAAGAAGACACAAACAATAGACTGCAGAATTTATTGCCTTACATATTTCGCTGTATCTCGTCAGGTGCATTCTACAGTAACAATTAACATACACATACAGTAACATACTGTAGTATGTGTCACATATCACTCCTGTCGCGTGCCTAATGTAAGGATTCCTCCTTCAGAACCAACAGCACTCAGAGATAATTATGTTGAGTCGTTTGGCTCGTATTGGTCTAAGGGATTCCCCGTGGCCAATATACGATCAACTTATCTCTGGAGTAGGGCAACTCAAGTATAGGCACTACAAAATATGTCAGTATATATATATAATATTTCTAGGCACACTTGGCTGGACACCCCCACTACTTACTAAAGAAAGCCCCCAGGTTATGATAGTTCATTATCATAACCATGTTAACACATATAATGAAGATACACATACATACACAACTGCTAAACACTTAAAAAGGTGAAATAGAGACACCTAAGTCAGCCATGAAA